ATCTCACCCGCTTTGTTCGTAGCTGAACTTGGCTTTGTCCGTAGGAAGAGCTGCCCTCGCATATCGATTTTCCATTTTCAGCAAATACACCATCCACCGAGAATATCTCAGGGGAAACAGCTTTCATGTGATCTAGGAGCAGATATTTGATGAATTCACCGCGCCTGACGCATGACTGGATCCATGGCGACATTCCGTATCGGTCCATGGTATTGGGATTGGCGCCTCTTGAGAGTAGCAGGCTCACCAAGTCTCTGTTACCTCTAAAGACGGCAAGCCAGAGCACTGTTCGACCCTCGCGATTTGGAAGATCGATTTTGACACGAGGCTGTTGAAGCAGCTGATTCACAACTGCAGATGACTCTATCGCCACACTCAACCACAGAGCACTCTCGCCATCTGCGTTTCTCCTATTCACGTGCAAACTTTTCTTACGCAGCAAAAGATCGGTAACCAGATCCGAGCCATATTTCGCGGCCGTCATGAGGGGAGAGAAACCATCGTGCAGCGCATTCACATCGGCCCGGTAAAAAAGCAAGGTTTTTGCAAAGGCGCGATTGTTGTTTTTAGCGGCCCAGTGAAGCGCCGAACTGTTTTGGTGCCTGATATTATATTTGATCAGGGCTAGGCGTAGCTTGGGATAGAGGATTGAGTGTGTCCGAGCAAGAGCAGAAATATCGCCTCCCTCTAGAGTGCTTGCTATGATCCAAAGGATCTCTGTTGGGAAGTCGAGAATGGAAATCTGCACGACATTGTCAGGATTCGGAAGGCTCCTCTCATTTCAGCTGTTCATACCATGATTTTGGGCGATGGATTTCAGTGGGAAAGGAGACACAACGTGCTGCTCAGATGATTTTTATCGGTTCCAAGGTGACGGCAATAAATAGGGATGAAAGTAATGTAACTAAGTTGTTAAGCGTTTTTGAATTAAGAACCTGGCAAAGGCGAGATACGTGGGAGGGGAGAAGCTTAAATAACACTCGTGGTCACCGGCCAAGCATCAGTTTCCCCCTACCTGCTGACGTAGCAATCGACTAGCGGTCCTAGGAACGCTGTCTAGGTTTCTAGGATTGCTGCTCGGTTCTATAGAGACCAAATCCATAGGAGATGGACTTTATGAGGTTGCGAGGATTGGGAATCTACGACAATTAAAAGAAGATCCAGACTTAGCCCAGCTAAACTGAAAGAACAGCACCAAATGACATGTTCTAGGTACCAGGCGATGACTTTACAGACTCAATTGAAAGCAAATTTGCTTCCAAATAATACCCCAATATGAGCGTCAGTAACAAGGAGTTAAAGGCGATCAAACGCACTGATTCCGTATCAAAGTCTTTATCTATAGGAACATCGAAAATATACTTTGGTCACGCGTGATCCCTTCAATTCCTACTGGCGGGTATTATATGTCACGTGTTGAGTCTAGCCCTTTTAGGTTAGGCGCAGTATGTGCCCAGCAGATGTCGGGTGGTGATTGTTTCGAACACCAGAGTACACGACTAAACCCTTGGCTGATGGAGCTGGATTCTGTGGTAGTGCCGTAGTAGCTATATGGTGGAATAAATAGTGTTCCGCGTGCAAGTGCGGTTGACAACAGACGCAATTGACTTTGCGAAAGGTGAGCCTAGGATATATATAGTGACTAGTACGATTTGAAGTTTCAGCCGCGAACCTAATGAACATGGCCTTCTATGGGCTAGGTGAGCCCTTCGCACTTGCTATCTCCTGATAATGTGTCATAAGATCAATACCCGCGTTCTCACTCCTAACAACGCGTATTTTGCACGATCATAGCCGCGTTGCGATGGGCGCGAAGTGATATTTTCCAAAACGGGGGTTCAAATGTAGACCCACCCACTGGCCGGAACGCTTGCGCTCGTAAGATAACACGGACACGCGACCACAATGTCGTCAAGACACCTCGTCGGGTATCGGAGCCGGTATTCCTAGCACGATGCTGTCTATGCTACCACAAGATTCACGTTGTCTGCCTCCATGCAGTTTTACCATGCTCCCCTCATGTGCTTGGTACTCCTGCAACACCTGCATAGCTTCGGTGATCCCACTGCCGGTACGAACCAACTCGTCTTCTAGGTGAGTTGCTCGAGATGAACTACTGTCCAACAGGTCCTGAAGCCGACGGATGTTTGCTTGCAATATGCGGTTTTCGCCGAGGGACCCTTGCAGGTGGATGCTGGTGCGGTCAAGCTCGTCCTTCAGTACATGGTTGGCGCATTCCAGCTCGTGGATCTTTGCCGTGAAAGATCCGCTTTCCTCTTGGTCACTACGAGCTAGCCCGGCCTATATTCAAATTTAGCATTGCGTTTGCCTCGTCAGACAACTTCAGGGATGGTATGGCTCACCTCTTCTGGTGGCAGGTGGTCCCGTTCCAATTGGGCAACCTGTAGCGTCTGCGGAGTAACTGCCTCAAGCGACCGGCCCAATTCCTCACAAATGGACTTGTACAGGCCCACGCTTCCACGGCCCAAATGTGTTGAGGACTTGATTGTCGTTCAAGCATGAACGTCCCAGTGGGGCCAACCGGTTACCGAAGACCAAAGTTGACCGAACGTTGGAAACCGGCAACAGGCCATAAAGCTCGGGCAGCATTGAGTTGACCACGACCGTTGTATGGTCGTCGCGAACAACCCAAGTGGGCGAACTCCGCCATTTTACTACCTTGGCTTAGCCAGTCTGGACGGATGATTAAAGGAGAGCTCAGACGATGGCTAACGACTTACCTTTGTCCCCATATAAAAGCTCCAAGCCCGAGTTCATACATACACTTCTCCTCGTGCAGAACCACATGGCATGCCACCTGTGGCCCATTCTATCTCACATTAGCGCCATCAAGCACAACCGGAATCACCTTACCAGTTTTGATACAACTCCCAAAATGCGGCAGGGGGATCCCGGTTTTGCAGTTAGCGAGTGTGACACTCCATTGCTCGCTCCATCTCGCTTGGCAAATAGTCTTTGTTCTCGCAAAAAGAATCACTGGCTAGTAGTTCTATCAGAGCAGAGCATGTAGAGGAGAGTCGGGCAGATTTAGGACGGACCATGGATACCCGAATTTTTGGGATATGGCTAGAGTTTTTTAGACGGATAGTCAATCATCCCATGGCCAAGTGATTTAGCCCAGTGGCCCTCCAGCTTCTGATGGTTTAGACCCAACTAACACCCACCCCTCAGTTTAAATGGACTATTTATCAACCGATCAAGTACAATTTTCGCCCAATGGGCTAAGCGTCTATCATGTCCCTTGTGTCTTTGCACCGCCAACTATCAGATCCCTGTCGTTCACCGCACCCGGTTTCAGAGTAACTTCTAGGCCTGTTAGACAGCGCAAAACAATAAAAAAAAACCCTGAGGCCCAATCTATCGTATGGCCATGCGGCGCTATGGGAGGCGGGAGAGCAAACTCGGAAGAGAGTACAATCAACTTTCTAACGCCGCCCAAGTATGGCCGTGCTGTCGACCTCATCCTCTTACGAGCTATTAAGTGAGGAACGGCAGATTAGAGATATGCGTTGATTGTGACAAGGAGTAATTAGTGGTGAATGTAAGGGCATGGCAATGATAAATAGAATCGGGGGCCCTTGTAAAAATATCACCTGTCACATTGTCTGGAATAATGCCTGTCGTCTTTCGTCAGCCAACGCACCGCGCAGGGGACGAACCCGGTACCATGCCCTTACTTGGTCGCCGCCCTAACACGCGGCCATCGCGGAAGCCTAAGGCTGAATCAACATTGCAGCGAGACCAGCCTACACTTCGTATGCGGCTTCAGCAGAGATGCATGAAGCCAGAGGCGTGGTGGACGTCTCTT